TTCTACATCAACATGTGTCCCCTCTTCTTCATGTCTCTTCTACATCAACATGTGTCCCCTCTTCTCATGTCTCTTCTACATCAACATGTGTCCCCTCTTCTTCATGTCTCTTCTACATCAACATGTGTCCCCTCTTCTTCATCTCTTCTACATCAACATGTGTCCCCTCTTCTTCATGTCTCTTCTACATCAACATGTGTCCCCTCTTCTTCATGTCTTTCTACATCAACATGTGTCCCCTCTTCTTCATGTCTCTTCTACATCAACATGTGTCCCCTCTTCTTCATGTCTCTTCTACATCAACATGTGTCCCCTCTTCTTCATGTCTCTTCTACATCAACATGTGTCCCTCTTCTTCATGTCTCTTCTACATCAACATGTGTCCCCTCTTCTTCATGTCTCTTCTACATCAACATGTGTCCCCTCTTCTTCATGTCTCTTCTACATCAACATGTGTCCCCTCTTCTTCATGTCTCTTCTACATCAACATGTGTCCCTCTCTTCATGTCTCTTCTACATCAACATGTGTCCCCTCTTCTTCATGTCTCTTCTACATCAACATGTGTCCCCTCTTCTTCATGTCTCTTCTACATCAACATGTGTCCCCTCTTCTTCATGTCTCTTCTACATCAACATGTGTCCCCTCTTCTTCATGTCTCTTCTACATCAACATGTGTCCCCTCTTCTTCATGTCTCTTCTACATCAACATGTGTCCCCTCTTCTTCATGTCTCTTCTACATCAACATGTGTCCCCTCTTCTTCATGTTCTTCTACATCAACATGTGTCCCCTCTTCTTCATGTCTTCTACATCAACATGTGTCCCCTCTTCTTCATGTCTCTTCTACATCAACATGTGTCCCCTCTTCTTCATGTCTCTTCTACATCAACATGTGTCCCCTCTTCTTCATGTCTCTTCTACATCAACATGTGTCCCCTCTTCTTCATGTCTCTTCTACATCAACATGTGTCCCCTCTTCTTCATGTCTCTTCTACATCAACATGTGTCCCCTCTTCTTCATGTCTTCTACATCAACATGTGTCCCCTCTTTCATGTCTCTTCTACATCAACATGTGTCCCCTCTTCTTCATGTCTCTTCTACATCAACATGTGTCCCCTCTTCTTCATGTCTCTTCTACATCAACATGTGTCCCCTCTTCTTCATGTCTCTTCTACATCAACATGTGTCCCCTCTTCTTCATGTCTCTTCTACATCAACATGTGTCCCCTCTTCTTCATGTCTCTTCTACATCAACATGTGTCCCCTCTTCTTCATGTCTCTTCTACATCAACATGTGTCCCCTCTTCTTCATGTCTCTTCTACATCAACATGTGTCCCCTCTTCTTCATGTCTCTTCTACATCAACATGTGTCCCCTCTTCTTCATGTCTCTTCTACATCAACATGTGTCCCCTCTTCTTCATGTCTCTTCTACATCAACATGTGTCCCCTCTTCTTCATGTCTCTTCTACATCAACATGTGTCCCCTCTTCTTCATGTCTCTTCTACATCAACATGTGTCCCCTCTTCTTCATGTCTCTTCTACATCAACATGTGTCCCCTCTTCTTCATGTCTCTTCTACATCAACATGTGTCCCCTTCTTCATGTCTCTTCTACATCAACATGTGTCCCCTCTCTTCATGTCTCTTCTACATCCAACATGTGTCCCCTCTTCTTCATGTCTCATTCTACATCAACATGTGTCCCCTCTTCTTCACTGTCTCTTCTACATCAAACAGTGTCACCCTCTTCTTCACTGTCTCTTCTACATCAACAATGTGTCCCCTCTCTTCTTCATGTCCTCTTCTACATCAACATGTGTCCCCCTCTTCTTCATGTCTCTTCTACATCAACATGTGTCCCCTCTTCTCATGTCTCTTCTACATCAACATGTGTCCCTCTTCTTCATGTCTCTTCTACATCAACATGTGTCCCCCTCTTCTTCATGTCTCTTCTACATCAACATGTGTCCCCTCTTCTTCAGTCTCTTCTACATCAACATGGTCCCCTTCTTCTTCATGTCTCTTCTACATCAAAATGTGTCCCCTTTCTATCTTCTTCATGTCTCTTCAGACATCAACATGTGTCCCCTCTTCTTCATGTCTCTTCTACATCAACATGTGTCCCCTCTTCTTCATGTCTCTTCTACATCAAACATGTGTCCCCTCTCTTCATGTCTCTTCTACATCAACATGTGTCCCCCTCTTCTTCATGTCTCTTCTACATCAACATGTGTCCCCTCTTCTTCATGTCTCTTCTACATCAACATTGTTGTCCCCCTCTTCTTCATGTCTCTTCTACATCAACATGTGTCCCCTCTTCTTCATGTCTTTCTACATCACATGTGTCCCCTCTTCTTCATGTCTCTCTACATCAACATGTGTCCCCTCTTCTTCATGTCTCTTTACATCAACATGTGTCCCCTCTTCTTCATGTCTCTTCTACATCAACATGTGTCCCCTCT